CATCTGTCTAGCTCCCTGTCCAATGTGAGACTGCTGTGGCTAATCCTCTGCTCTTTTTTAACTCAGAAGTGTTTTGATTCAGGACCCAACCTAATTAACTTAACAAAGAAAACCTATTTTCAAACAGATCGTGGGGTTAGAATTCCAACACACATTTTGGGGAGGGGGGCAAAATTTCATTCCCTCTGTTAAGAAGGAAGGGGTAGTTTCCGTGAAAGTTTCCTGTTTAAAGGGAACACTAGTAACTGTCCTGGTCCTTCCCCCATCCTCCGCCTGCCTTGAACACAGGTCCAGTGTCTGCAGTCTTCTTGTGATTACAACCCTGTGAAAAAGTCAGGAGAACGGCACAGTTGTTGACCTGCTATCATTGAACCAATGCATTCACACCAGCAGCTTCCTATTCCAATCGAGTTTTGTCAGGAAAAAATAAAACAGCATCTAAGCTCTCCCACACACACCCTCAAATCCCTCATCCTTCCCTTTCCCTTGTCATTCCAGCCCGCCAATACCCCAAATCCTGGTGTGTCTAAGGCTGCTAGTTATTGCCCAATATCCATTCTCTCTTTCTCCTTTTAGTAATAAAGAAGCAAGGCATGTTGTCATTCAGTTGACTCCATGTCTACAGGACAGGTAGAACTGCCCCATCTGGTTTCCAGTTCGGTAGGCTTTGCAGAAGCAGACTGCCGCCACTTGCTGATCTTTCGATGAGCATTGGAGAACTTCACCACCACCTTACCAGGTTCCTTTCCTTTTAGTAATATGAGTATAAGCCTAGAATGGTCTGAGCCGATTGTCTTCCAGAACAAAGAACGGAGCTCACCAAGCTCACCAATTCCAGAGATGGAGCTGAGCCACATTTACAAACTTCTCCCTCCTCATCCCTCTGTCAGTTTCCATTTTGCCTTGACTTCATGATCATTTCCAATCGCATGCAAACATATTGCAACCTCTCCTATCTTAAAAACAAATCAAAAAACCTCAGCTCCCCCTACACTCCAAGTGCCCTCAGGTACGACTTCATTCCACCGCTCTTCTTTATGAAGAGATCTTCGGGTTGGCTGTGTTCACAGTCAAGGAATCCAGTGTCCCCCATCTCGTAAAACACAATGCTACTTCTCAGTCTTCATTTTATTCCCACTCATAGTAACATGTGATGAGGGTAATCATTCTGTGTTCCGCAGTTTTCTCCTCCTTTACTGGTTTTTTTTTTTTT